ATCAGTGAAAGACAATCCTGAAACCGAGTGCCTCAATGGCATATTCACGCCAATTGTAAAGTCAAGGATATAGGAAACCAAGAGATAATAACAGAAATAGAACCAGGACACGTCCTAATTGTAAACACAAGCAACTCTACCATAGCATCAAATTGTACAACTAAAATCCCTATAAAAGGATCTGCTCTAGTTACGTTCAATAACTGCGAAGTATCCATTAACCAAATTCCCTATGACAAAGAGTTGTCATTTTACGAGGAGAAAATAGACGTTACAATTCCAATTATACAAAATATTAACTTCATATGAACATATCGAAGACATTAAGGTCCATCAATGCTTCCAATTCAATTATTTACTAGAAAAATTTTACATCTACCAATTTTGGAGCGGTACATTTACTATTATTAATCGGAATCTTATTGTCAGTCCTTTTGATCAACACGACGAAGAAGGTCATATTCTCCACCATACCAGAGCCGAGTTGCGTGACGTCCACACCTTCGCTTTGGTCGTCAATTCAATCCAGGAGGGGAGGAGTTACCGACCAGTCGATAGGTAACGGGCCTCCGGCCAAGCCACCCAGAGCTACCCTGGAATTGGTACGCTGACTTGGTGGCCACTTGCCATCTACATATGGATGCAACTATGTCGCAAACCAAATATTGCCCAAAGCCGGGCAACGACCACTTGAGTCGTTGCCCTGCTAACGTTTTTGCTGACACTGCAACTGGATGCCCCAACCCTCCGGAAATGAGACACGAGCAGCTCTTGGATTGGAATTCCAAATAAACATTAATTTTTTTCTTTGTATTATGTATTAAGCATTTATGTATAGCATGTAAAATTTCCTATGTACACTTCGGTGGCGGTGGCTACTTTGGCACCGCTGAATAATATATGATTCAGTTCTGAGATCTTTAAATTGAATTAAAAACTATCAGCGGACATCTCATCGAGTCAAGAGGACAACCCCCATTTGGACTAAGGAAATACCATAACTGGTTCACCTGATTATAATGTACAAGAAAATAAAATTAGGAAGATAAACAAACTAAATAAAAAACGTAATGAATATGAAATCGACACGACGAACCCTTTTAAAAAGAGAGGAACACTCAGACAGACAAACAGAGGCGGGAAGATTGTGCATTATAAAACCAAGTTTTAAAAGAAAAAGAAAATTATTAAAAGTTAATATGATAATAATTCCAGATCATAATTTAACTTTTAATTATATCAACTTTAATTCAAATTACAATGGGACAAAATGTTGAGATCAACCCAATCTAAGCTCAAAATGGATACCTTATATTTAAAACCGGATCCATGGCCATGCCAACTAAAAACAAGTACCATTATTTGTCCATAAACCTAACCGAACAAATATTTGATAGTCTTTTAGGCAAACGAGCGGTCTAATTACTTATTAAAACATCCTATAAATAATTATTCGGAACGGTAGATCAAGATGAAAAAATGAATTGGAGCAGAACAATAATTATTTAGCAGAAAAAAGCGTCCAAAATAACGATTTAAATATGGTAATAGATGTTATAAATAAAGGAACTAAAACAATAAATGAAATAAAAGATAATATTTAACTTACAACACTTTACAATTATTAAACGTTGTAAATAGTTAAAGTTTTCAAAAAAAAAAAAAATTCATTTCCAACATAACATTTAAAACTAATAAGGAATGGTTAATCGTACCAGTTATAAACTTGTTTTCGATTGGCTTTAAAAAAAAATGTTACAAAGACAAAGTTTATTATGCTGACAGATATAATTTGAGTTTATATATATCAAAATATTGACTTGTTGAAGACGAACCATGGCCGCAATTTTATTTATTATGTTGTTTGGATGCAGTCGAAAATGAGCTTTTTCATATCAAATATTCATGTTTTAATTTGATTTGTTATGCTTTGAATACTGTTTTGACAGGGCAATCCAAAAGATATTAATTATTACATTTTTTTCAAAGTCGTTTAATTTTATTAATTTTAAGTACCCAGTAAGTTTTTTGCTGCAACCTTATACAGCTGTTGGAAATGCAAAATCTTTAGTACTATTTTCTTTAATATAACGTATTGTTTCATCCCAAACGAAGTATTCACAACAAATGGACCAGCTATTATCAATGTTGACTTGCGGGTTGAACCACGTTTCAATAAGAAATAAGTTTTACATGATTCACTGAATTTTCCAAAAGTATTAACGAACGAACTGAAAATCTTTAAAGTATTTAAAGTTATAAATTCCTACCTATAAGAAATCTTGTTCAGCAAAACAAACTTGAATGCTTATTCATATATTTTATGCATTTTTATAAGAAAAACGATAAAAATAAAAAAAACATTTATTATAAAATTTAATGGCCATAGCTGTGGGTCTAATTAGTTACAAAACTTGCGATAGGTGAGTCCGAAAATTAAAGATATTTAAATATATTTCAATAAGAAAGGAATGAATATACCCTTGCATTTCATGCAAAAAATAAATGTTCCTTTAGACAACTAAATTTCGATTTTATGCGAATAAGTATAAAAACATTAAAACTATGATGATTTTTAGCGGAATTCTGCGACTGTTCCTATGGTGGCTATCTGATATCGTTTTACAGTTTTGATCAAATTATAACCGTAATTCCGAATTATTAAACAAATACTATATCTTAAAGAATTAAAAAAAATTGAATAACAGAGAAGAGACACATTATTTGTTCATTTAATTTTTGAACTTTCTGATTTTAATCAAATGAAACATGTAATACTGAAATAATAAACCATAACTTTGTCTCCAAGAATTAAAACAAACTAAAAAACATTGAATCCAAGGACCAATTCGGCCCTTTCCGACTAATATACTGCCTGATGAGCAGACAGGAGGACATGGCTTTATCGGATCAACTGGATTTTACTGAAAAAGTTTTACATGCTGTAAGGGTATAAGAATAGTCAAATGAAAAAAAAAAAATGTTATATCATACATAACTGAAAACCTAAATACATGAAAATCCATCATAATTTTTGTTTAAATTAACAATAAACTACTTCAATCTACTACGTTCTTGTACCAGAGAAGCACAAGTAATATTATTGCGTTTGAGGGACTATTCGAATCAGCGTGAAACATTGAAGAAACCCAAAGGATACGCAATCCCAACTTGCAAGCTATCCAAAGCATAAAGAAAAAATGAAATCAGCTCGATCGACTTACATTAGCATACTCATATTATCATTGGTGGCTCCGTCCTGCTTCACCGAGTGTTGAGGACTGACGAGCTCTTCAATATGTTTGATAGGGAAGTATTTACCTAATAACGAGCATTAAATGTGCTTATTCTGCATTTGTCGATGAAGTGGTCCGCACTATGACTTTAAAAAAATGGTAGACGAAAATTATGTAATGTTACACAGGAATAATTTATTTTATTTTAAAATTTTTTTAACCGGCGGCTTACAGATTCAGATTCTTTCATATCGCCTGTTTTGGAAAGAGAATAATTTAAGTCAGCTGTTCTTAGTCCTTAGTTCTTTTTTTCTTTGTGTATTATTATGAACAGAGATGTTCAACAAATTAAACAAGACGAAAATTGTATGATTTATAAAAATATTTTGTTACTTATATTATAAAGTGCTGCCCTATGGCCTAACCATTAATTCTGAGCGAAGTTGACTGAAGTCAACAATTGGAGCGCACTCCGCTCGAGCGGTTGAGGATTACATTTGCACAGAAGCATCTAGCGATGGTGAATCGTAGAGACTTTGTGTTCCAGCATGACAGCGTTAGGCCCCATACACCACCCTAGTCCGGATATCGGCCAATTCGGCATATTCAATTTACCATAGAAAAAGCAACAAATAATGTACATATAGAATTAAATCAGACAATTTTATATATGTTTAAAATCAATAAAGAATGCGGTATGTTATAACCAAACGACCTTATATTTTAGTTTATAATTTTAATATTTTAATATTTTAGGTAACTTAATTATATAAATACTTTAATCATAGTCTACAAATTAAAGCATATTCTTTCTTTATATTTTATACTAGTAACAAAAATCCATACGCCAAGTCTATAACGGTAGTATCAAGTAAGCACAAGAAGATAAAAATAAGAAATGAAAGATACAAAACAATTGACTAGACCGTTGTCATTTTTGTCAAACATATTTGAAATTTTTTAATATTTAATGTGCCTCATTTAATATATAATGTGCACTCGTTCATTATATTATTTATAAACATTTTCGCATTTACACGAAGTCTGTGCATATTTAGACCATAGGTAAGCAATCGAGAGGGTCCAAGTATTAGCTGCGCAGCTTAGATCTTAATACTCCTACTCCCCCAACTACTGCCCTATAGCTAGTGATTGCACAGTAGTCGACAATAAAAACTAGAATATAAATAAGTAGACAAATAGACCGTTTTAGAAATATTTATTTATGATCGGCATTTCATAAGGATAAATTTGTGGTCATGAAATTCAAATATGATTGAAAAAAATGACACCACCAATCTTCAACATGACCACATTTGAATCGAATGACACCAGTTATAAACTTGTTTATGTTTGGCTTTCTTTAAGAATACATTTGTGTTCGTAAACTAAAAAAAAATTGAATCTGTTCATATAACTAAAATTAATAAAATAACAAATAGGCAAACAGAAAAATCACACCGGGTATTAACATGTTTTCGCTAAGCCTTTATATAATATTAAATATATTTATTTAAATATAATAATGCATAATAGCATACTGCTTTTTAAACTAAAACATTATTTTGGTAACTAGCTTAAGATGAACCATGAGCACAAATAGTGCTAATAAAATTAAAACCGTTAGTTAACCTAGTAGTGGTATTCCAAAGATTTAAAAAAAAATATATATATATTTGCTCGGCCTCGTTCCGACTTATATACTTCCTACAATAGACAAATTTTGGAAAAGTTTCATGCAGATAGCTTTAAGACTGAGGGACTTGTTTTCGAAAAAAAAAAACGGACGGACAGACACACGGACATGACTAGATCGACTCTCCTTATGATGTTGTTCAATAAAAGATATACTTTATAGAAAATATTATATGTCCTTCTCTGCGTTACATGCTTTTGACTAAAATTATAATACCCTCTGCTAGGCATAAAAAGGCGTTCGGAAGCAACCTTTAATTTTAAAAGGTCCATCTAAAAACATAAACATATATATATATATATTTTTTTTTTTTTACTCGCTTCGCTTACTTGTTCTGCAAGGCACTCTATTGGGCAGCTTTTGAAAATCAGTCTTTCTGTTAAAATAAAATATGATTTATAATATATTATTTAAATTATGTCGATTTCTTTAACTAGAACATACTTTTGTTATCTGTTGTTACCGAAATTTCTTGGGCAGTCCATGTTTGTATTACATTTTTTAAATGTGTATACATATACTTATCATTTGTTTAATGATAATACGCTAGTGCTTCTTCTGCTTAATTGCGTGAGCTTGCCGGATTCTGAAATCATATATTTTATATTAATCATTAAGGAAAATATCTGTAGCAATGCACTCAAAAACATAGCTTTAATATATGAAACTTATTTTTCTCTAAATATTTTCGAATGTACATACGTGTTCAATGAGGCAGTAGTGTCGCTCTTCACATTTTTTACAACGGTTTTTGATACCCTTCCAGTCTTATCACTCTGTGCATTGTTTTGTGAGTACAGACACAGAATAGGCTGTTCATTGAAATATAAGTGTGTGAAGAAAGTAACAAAGGAGATGAAAATGCAAATCAAATTAAAAAAATAAAGACGCCTTGTATTATGGGTATTATTTTAATAAAACTATCGAAAATGACGATAATTTAATTTTTAGTGGGAAGAGGAAAACATTGCTCAGTCGAAAATAAAAATCTAATTGTCAGCCTTAGAAAGCAAGGAAAAACATATGAGAAAAATGAAGAGAATCGAGGCTGTGAGCGTAAAACGACTATTTTGGAGGATAGACGGATTGTCCGGTACATCATCTAAACTGATGAAAAAGGATTTAAGCCTGTCGATCAGTGACGTAACAGTGCGACGTCGACTGATTTTTGAGTGTTTTGGTAAGAATATGTAAAATAAGAAGAAGTTTAATTGCTAGAATTATTTTTTGGATAATTAAAGCTAAAGCTGTTAGCTTTTTAAAAATGTATCGCTTGTCTGATTTGGAAAACTGGAAGGATTTTAAAAACAGATTGGAAAGTTGTGAAGTGGGGCACTTCTATTTCATTGTGAATAAAATAAATAAAATAAAATATATTTGGTCTAACCATTGTTAATAAGAACATATATATATATAAACAATATATATATATATTGTTTTATGTTCTGTTCCTATAAGAGCTGTTTTTATATAGTACCCTTTGCAGAAGTATAAAAATCGAAAAATTCGCATATAGCATTTAAAATATGCTCTTAGAAAAAAATGTGTAATGTTATATGTTCATATGGTTCAGAGTATTTATTATTAATAACCATTATATTATGCAAACAAAAACACCTCTTAACGATGTAAAAAAGTCATGAACATTGCACCTCAATCATACAAAATATCTGATATCAAGTTTTGTGACGAAAATATTAAGAATAGACTAAATAAATACACTTTTAAATGTTCCCATTCGGACCGTTTCATCCAGGTAATTTGCCTACACAGGCATTTTTATCTCATCGTGCCGAATGGGAACATTTAAAAAGTTTATTTTAGCTATTTTTAGCGATTTCCCGCTTAATATGCTAGTTTATAAAAAAGTCGTAAGATAAGTTTGAAATTGGGAAGGAGTTTAATAGCCAAGTTACACTCACGCACATCTCCTATCGATATCGAAATAGACGCTATGAGCCTGTTTCACTTTACAGACATCCTACATTGCGTCTGAAATTGCTAATTGTTTTTTCTGTAAGACATTATATTGGATACAAAACATTTGTCTTGATGTGCTTGTTACCGAGACTTTTGGATTGTATTATTTCTTCACATACTATTACAAATAATTTCACTATTTTGAGCTAAGATATTAGCAGTGTACAAATTTAGACTAGTTCTTCAATCGATTCCAAAGCTATATCCAGCTTGGATTTTCAAATCCAATCTGTATTTATTTAGAAACGAATATATGTATGTGCTGGTATATAGGGGAAACCATTTCACAAGCAGTGAGACTCTAAAACAACATTGGATTTAGCATTAAAAATACACACTAAGAAAATAAATTGTTAGATAAAATTTAATTTAATTAATTTTTTGATCGTTCCTATGGCAGCTAAATGATGTCGTTCTCCGATTTTAATAGATTTAAAACCATACTTCTAAAATAATAAACCATTACTATATCCCGAATAAACAATTTATATATCAATTAAATTAAAAAACAGCGAAAAATCATTTTTATACCCTTGCAGAGAGTATTATAATTTCATACAGAGGCTTGCAACGCAGTGAAGGAGACAGCTCCGGCCATTTAAAGAATATCTAATTATGTTTGTCTGTCCATCCGTTTCTACGCAAGCTTGTCTTTTAGTTTTAAAGCTATCTGCTTGAAACTTTCCTTAAAGTTATCTTAATATTACAGACCGTTATAAGTCGGAACGAGACGAATCCGTCGACTCTAGCATATAGCTCCCATCGAAAAAATAACTTAAAAAGGTTCATTCTTTTAATTTTATTCAAATCGTTTGTTTTAAACATATATCCAAATAGATCAAAATTTAAATGTTTTCAAGAATAATTAATTTTTAAAATAGCTGCAAGACATTTATTTTTTCAGCAAAATAAAAAACCGTAATTTTGAAATATTAATTACTATTACTAAATCTCAAAATATAATTAAATTATAGAAAGAATACTCTTGGGAAATTTTTATTCAGATAGCTTTAAAACAGAGAGGAGACTAGTTTGCGTAGAAACTGCCTGACGTCATATTTTTGTCTTTAATGACATCGTTAAAATTCATAGCTCAGACAGTCAATATATTCAACACAAATTTTCTTAGATGTCTATAATATTTTACATGTCAAAACAATATAAATGTTATTTAATTCTCGTAAGAAGTCACATAATTTGTTTGTCCAATATTAACTTTACGAAAAATATCATTCATGTGAAAAAAGTGGTACTTCGTTTCGTGGTTGAACATCCATCATTGCGTCCAAGCAAGCAAAAACAACAATCAAAGAACACAATTAAAATTTTTAGTTTGTTTTATATTTCTAAATTTTAGAAAAATTTTAATTTTTAGGGTAAAAATTTTATAAATTAATTTCTTTATTATAGCAAACATTTCTATACTCAAAATAAATATTTCCATATTTGAAAAATACATTCTACATTAAAAAAAATATTTCTATATTTAAAAAAGATGTCTATGTTACAGAAAACATTTCAATTGTATGGAAAACATTTATCTGTCTTAAAGTGATATTTAATGTTAGGGTTTGGCATAGAATTTTTACAAATAATTTCTGTGTTATAAAAAATATTTTTTTTTATTTTTATTTATGGCATTCATTTCAAAATTCAAGAAAATTTTCTTGTTTTCAAAACAAGGTGTTTTGACACAAGAAATTTTTTCTTGGAATTTTTATATGTATATTTCTAGGTGTTAACTAGATCGAACCCCCAGTGATGCTGATCAGGAATATAAAAACCTAGGTTTTTAACTTAAAAATGTTACTGTAATTATTAACTGCAATTATATTTTTTCAATTCTCATAAATTTAATACTTATACCAAACACTTAAAAGACAAGTTAATAACGGTGATATCCAGAAAGCACAGCACGATAAAGAACATTGGATAATTGACTATACCGTTAATTTTTCAAATCCATTAATTTAACTCAATATTCGATATAAGTTCGTAATATGTGCCTACATCAAATTAAACACATTAGTGTTTATTATTTAAAAACCATTTATCTTTTAAAGTCGTTTTTCTTAGAAAAATCAAACCAGCTATAAACAGGGTTTCGCTTTGCTTTTAAAAATATTTTTACAGAATTAAAGTTTATATTGCTACGAAAAACGAAACAAAGACAGAATTTTGATTTATATGTGAGAAAAATATTATTTAAATACCTTGGTAAAGACGAACCTTGGCTGTTATCTCGAGAAACTCCAGAATATTCGGTTTTTGATTTTTCATTTTAAGTCTGGAGGCAAAATTTACAAGATCATTGGCATTTGAACAGGCAGCTTTTGAAGTTCTCTGTAAAAGTTATTTGTTATATTTATTTTTCCATTTAATTTAATTTTATAAATTAATGATACCCACTTTAGCTATCGCTGGTACCGAACTCTCACTGGCAGTCCTTGCTTGTACTACGTTATATTTATATATTTTGATGTAATCTTTAATGATTTAATTTTTAACATCTATATTATCTGAAATTAAACATTTTAGATTACAACACTTTTTATTAAGGGTGTGGTTTATGAGTTTTAGTTTCTGTTATGTTTCTGTTACATAATAGTAAGAATACTAGAATTAGACTAGAATATAAAAATACCTGTTAATAGTAGCACTTTCTGTTAGTTTGATTTTTTTTACTGCAACACTTTATGTAGGATAAGTAATACTTGTCTCTTGATTTGCTAGTGGTAACGGAAAGTTTGATTGAGCACTGGTTTACATCATATTCACAAATGTTTTCTTAGAAAATTCCGAGTTCTGTATTAAGCAGTACATAAATTTTGACATGTTCTTCTGTCGAGTCTCTGGAACGGTTTAAAAATGCTGCTGATGTGAACAGAATTTTGGATATCAAATGTGTGTATGTGTTTATAGCACAAGCAGTGAGATTCTCTTTCATGCCGTCGGAAAGAGCGAAAAATGAGCAGACAGCGTTTGAAATATGCATTTGGAAAACATGGATAATTCTATATATTACTTCACATATCCCGTTTTTTTTGTTTGTGTTTCCTTGCCTTTATTTTATGAAAGAATTTAGCATTAAAGGAAATAATATTTTTATATAACAAACATGTATTAGTTATGAAGACGAAAACATATATTTTTTGTATATTTTTGTTTACTTTTTTATTTAACTGTAGCTTATCTCAGTTATATATACATATACACATAAAAAAACGTGCATGTGTTAAGAATTCATATGCATTGAAATTCTAGAAAAATTCAAGAAAAGCAGCAAACATCGGCAAGCCGAAGTTTATATAACCTTGCTGATACTATACAAATTAAATATTCCTTTCACCATAAAAATATAAATTTATAAGCGTATATTTTTAAAATTATTAATATTATGATGATTTTCAGCTCAATTATTCGATCATTCCTATGACAGCTATATGATATCGTTTTCTGATGTTAATAAAATTAAAAGCGTAGTTCTGAATTATTGAACCATAACTATGTCCAAACAATTTTTAAACAAAAATTAAAAAATAGTAAAGATACATTATTTTAAAATATTTTTATACCCTTGCAGAGGGCATTATAATTTCAGTCAGAAGTTTGCAATGCAGTTAAGAAGCCATATATATATATATATATATATATATATATATATATATATATATATATATATATATATATATATATATTTAGATACGAATATATGTATGTGCTGGTGCATATTGGTAAAGCATTTCACAAGCAATGAGACTCTAAAACAACATTGGAAAAATTCTCATTTTGCAATAAAAATATACACTAAGAACAAAAATTGTTAGATAAAATTTTATTTTTAAAAGTTGAGTTATGTTTCCATTATTATTTTTTTTTCCTTGCGCTCCCGTAAATTTAGAACAAAAAATTTTTTTATTTATCGCGCATGTTTCATAACAATGAATCAATGCCGATTTTGCGCATAATTTTTCGATCGCTCCTATGGCAGCTAAATAATGTCGTTCTCCGATTTTAATAGATATAAGACCATTCTTCTAAGATAATATCTCGAATACTCTAAAATTATACATGGCTATGGACATGGCTAGATCGACCCTCCTAGTGATGCTGATCAAGAAAATATATACTTCATAGGGACGGAAATGTATCCTACACTGCGTTGCAAACTTCTGACTGAAATTATAATACACTCAGCAAGGGAATAAAAAGAGAAAAAAAGGGCGTGAAAATAAAAAATATGCGCCTAGATAATATGTATAATTGAATTGAATTTAATTACATTCACAAGTTGTCCTGTGCATTTATTACTCTTCCCCACATATTTATTTCCTTATTTATTTAATGAAAGATATTACCATTTAATTTGAATTATTTTAAATCAAATTCAGGATAAATTCATATATTTTTTTCCCAAATGTTTTAAAAATAAATGCCCAAAAAAATGTCAAATTCCTACGGAGGAATGCAAAATTCTTTTGAGTGTACTGCGTGAACTGCGGGTGTTTGTTTACACATGAATAGGAACAGAATTAAGCTTACTAAGCGTAAGCGCTTCAGAGCGCATCGGAGACTTGGAGAAGAGTTGGAGCGGGAGAGCAAAGGGACAGTGGATGGAGACATTTGGAGAGACTGCCGCTCTACACTGCCAGAAATTAAACGTTTTCTTGGCGTAAAATCTTACCTTAAATATTAAAACAAATTGTCTTTAATTTTAACAGAAGTATGTTCCATATAATTTTAGGTTCTTAGTCATTTAAATTAATTGCGTTTTTTTTTAATCATGCCTAATGAAAATAAATAAATAATTTATTGAAAATTTAAAAAAAAATTGTAAAATGTAAATAATTTTGATTGATTTGGTTGATTTCCCACTCCACTTTTCAGTTTTTGGATCGAACTTGCAATTCGGTCCCAAAGCGAACTTGCAACTGCACTGCTCGCACCTGCCCTTGGCAATGAGAGCGAGCAGTTCGCTGTGCTCCATAAAATGTTTTTATATATCCAACACATTTTTTTTTTTTAATTTTATTTGTTTTAGTATCCCGACGATATAAGAGTAAGTCTTTTCAGATTCATCGGTCACTTTATGATTGTTATATTTAAACTTAAATACTTTGGGTTTCGTACAATAAAACTTAAACACTAGAAGTACAGTTACATTACATTACGTTACAATAACAATTTAACATTTTAACATTTTAACAAGTTATGGTGACATGAGGAACATAAAGAAATGAATTGAATTTAAAAGAAAATGAGATTGACATTAAAAATTATAAATTAAGATTAAAATAAGAATAAGAATTAGCTTTTGCCCTTTAAATAGTCTATAAGTACGTTTTTAAAGTGCGTTTCATTTCGTATAGTTTTAATATTGTTTGGAAGGTTATTCCAATAGCGAACAGCCTGTATGAAAAAGTGTTTTTCCGTCATCGCCAATTTTAATCTTTTGCAGACAATGTTGTTTGTTCTGGCAGACGAAGCCAGTTGCACATGTTCAATTAAGTACTGCGGCTCTTTTTTAGTCAGGAGTTTACGCAGAAATAAGAGGGTTTTTAACTTAATCCATGACTCAAGGCTTAGTTCAAAAATTTTGTTTGAGTAACATGTTATGTGCTCCCTGCGGTTTAAATTAAAAACACATTCTATTTCAACATTTTTTACCTCAATCTTTGGAAGACAGCTAAAGTCAATTGATTTTTTATGAATTAGAATGCACTTTAATTTGGATGGATTTAGTCTTAACCCGTTCGCATCAACCCAATCATTTATTTGTTTAATTTCAATGTTGCTAATTCTAATACACTCACTAATTCGACTTAGGGGACGGCTAACATATAACTGGACATCATCTGCATATAGGTGCACATCACAAACAGAAATACATTTAGGGAGATCATTTACATATAGCGAGAAAAGCAGTGGACCTAAAACTGAGCCTTGTGGGACTCCTTGTGTGAGAGGCAGAAATGAAGATTTTAGCGACCCGGAGACGGTACAAATTATGTGTAGAAATGACGGAAGGAACCTCTGAAAACCTCTTATTAAGGGCGTCTACATCAAGGTCCGATTTAGCCATAGCATTTTGTTTTCCTATGCCTAGGCTTCTCAAATCCTTCCAAACTTGACCAGGAGTCTCTACATTGGCAAATTTATCATTATAAAATCTACGTTTGGAGGAAGAGATCGAGTTTGTGACTAAGTTTCTCAGTTGTTTAAAAATGATGTGCAGGCTTTCAGTTTTATACCTTTTCCAGCGTTTGTAGGCATTATCCCGCAGGCAAATTTGTTTTTTAATTTCCAAATTAAACCATGGCTGTACGGCAGGTTTTTGTGTTTTTGTTCTTAACGGAACACAGTGATCAAATAACCGTCGAATGTTGGAATTAAATAATAGAAGTTGATCCTGTGGCAAAGTCAAGTCATAAACATTTGTCCAGTCATAATTGTCAAATTCAGTTAGTAGATTGTTTAGATTGATTGATTTATAGTCCCTATAGTTAAAAAATCGTGTTGAATTGTCAGAAATAAAATCATATGTCATAAACATCAAGTCATGTTTAGAGAACGCTGGCACACACAGCTGGTCATAGAGAAGGATTTTTGATGGTTCACTAACAAAGAAAACATCTTACAAAGAGCTAAAGGTACTTGTGAAATGCGTAGGTAGTTGGCAGTTTACCAAGCTTAGGCCAAGAGAGTTAAAGTCATTTTGTACACTTTGTTCTCGGATCATGTTGCTGTTAAGATCTCCAGCCAGGATTACGTTTTCGTACGCCACAGATATGTCTGATACGGACTCTAAGAGATCAGTATATTCGGTCATACGATGGGGTCTATAAATACAAGAAGTAAACATTTTTGATTTGGAACTAGGATCTACGACTTCCAGAAACAAATATTCAACTCTACCTTCGATCGGGTTTGATTTAATAAGCTTCGAAGTGTATTTGTTGCTTACAAAAATCGCCACACCACCTGCGTGTTTTAATCTGTCTGAGCTATGCAACACGTAGCCAGTTACAAATCATGTTTCTGAAACACACACTATATCAACATTTGATCCTACCAAAAGTTCCCTAAACTCATCCATTTTTCTGACCAAACTTTGAGCATTTATGTGGACAATCTTCAGACCAACTTTTTGTTTACACAGAATTCTCAGCAAACTGCTCGCTGTTGCATTATTTGTACTGACCTGCATTAATAGTGGGGTATAAGGTAAATTGGGAAACATATGCATTGAGAAGGCACAAGCTAGATTTGAACGAAAAAAGATTACAACTTGAAAACCTAAATAACTCTTAAAAACGATAAAAATAAAGTGACCAGCTTCATAAGAGATGTTATTTACGAAAGCTATTTTAGGCAGCACGAGGGATAACTTCGGCAACCAGTGCGCTGGATCCAGAGAGGGCGAGAGCAGACTCAGCAGCCGTGATCGCTGAGAGCTCATCATGTTGCTGGATAACGTAAATGTCCTCTCTCCCACTGCACTTCACGTGCACAATCCCACGGCGCGTAAAAACAGCAGCAAGAGATTTCTGCTTCTTCAAACGCATGGCTTCTTTTAATATGAGGAAATTATCTCTCGTGAGCTGCTCATTAACATAGAGAGCGGCCGGCGAGTCAAAGCCCAACAGGTGTATGCTCAGTTGCTGTTTTGTTGTGCGTCGGAAATCAGCCAGTGCGCGAAGAAGTGAAACTTTTTCCCTCGTAGTTTCCAATTTTATCAGAATTGGCACTGCGCACGCAGGTCGTCAAGCTTACCTTGCACCGTTCCAATTTGGGATTTTAGGGAGCGCAGCTCCTCAACCTCCTGCTCCAGCTGCAACATGCGATCGGC